AACTTATCATTCCTGGCATAGTAGACCATATGATTGTCCAATTCAGAATGACCAATACTAGTCCATTTCAGCTCACTAATGCCTAGGATATTGATCTTTATGCTCCATTTAATTTTTGATGACTTCCAGTTTTCCTAGATTCATAGTTCGTACATTCCACATTCTGATTATTAATGGGTGTGTATGGCTGTTTCTTCTCATTTTGAGTTGTGCCACATCAGGAAATGAAGGCCCCAAAAGCTTGACTCCATCCACATCATTAAGGTCGACACTACTTTGAGGAGGCAGCCTTCCAACCTGAGGGGCTCATCTTCCAGCACTGTATCAGACAAGTTCTGCTGCTATTCATAAGGTTTTCACTGGCCAGTTTTTTCAGAAGTAGACCACCAGGTCCTTCTTCCTAGTCTGTCTTAGTCTGGAAGCTCCACTGAAATCTGTCCACCATGGGTGACCCTGCTGGTATTTGAAATACTGGAAGCATATCTTCCACCATCACAGCAACATACAAGCCACCACAGTACGACAAACTGGCAGATGAGTGGTGGATCTTGAGGTTAGTGAACTATAGATAAAATAAGTATTAGAGAACCTGCAGAAGAAGTAAATACAACACGGAGTTGGTGTTTGGACAAAAAAAACCTGGAGCGATGGTAGGTCTTGTCTAACCTTTGTGTCGTCTTAGAAATCAGCATGGTGACAGATACCACCATTGCCCCCCCCCCCCAGTGTCACGTCCTTAGCACCGCTATGAACAGGCCCCATATTCACAGAAGGTGCCCACATGTGGCCTTTGGAATGCGCAGAAGTGCCTGTGAGCCTGTGTAGCAGGTAAATTCAGAAATGAAAGAAACATCTGTCCAGAGGTGTGCGTCCTGTGAACAGGTCTGTGTCATGTGAACGTGTGCATCCTGTGAACAGCTGTGTGTCATGTGAACACATGTACGTCCTGTGAAAAGGTGAGCATCCTGTGAGCAGATGTGCATCTTGTGAACAGGTGTGTGTCCTGTGAGCAAGTGTGTGTCTGTTGGCAGGTCGGTGTCCTGTGAATGGGTGTGCACCTCTGAGCAGGTGTGCATCCTGTGGGCAGGGGTGTACCCTGTAGGCAGGTGTATGTGAACAGGTGTGTGTGAGCAAGTGTGTGTGAGCAGGTGTGCATTCTGTGGGCAGGTGTGCATCTGTGAGTAGGTGTTCATCTGTGAGCAGATGTGTATCCTATAGGTAGGTGTATGTCTGTGAACAAGTGTGCATCTGTGAACAGCTGTGCATCTGTGAGCAGGTGTGCACCGGTGAATAGATGTGTGTCCTGTAAGTGGGTGTGTGTCCTATGGGTGTGAGTTTGTGAGTATTGTGCATCCTTTGAGCAGGTGTGCATCCTGTGAGCAGGTGTGTTTCCTGTGATTAGGTAGTGTGCATTTGTGGGCAGGTGTGCGTCCTGTAGGCGAGTATGTGTCCTGTGAATGGGTGTGAGTTTATGAGCAAGTGTGCATCCTGTGAGCAGGTATATCTCTGTGGGCAGGTGTGTGTCTGCGAGCACGTGTGCATCTATGAGCAAGTGTGCATCTGTGAGTAGGTAGTGTGTGTCTGTGAGCAGGTGTGCATCCTTTAGGAAGATACATGTCTCTGAACAGGTGTGCACTTGTGAGCAGGTGTGTGTCCATTAGACCGTATGCTTCACCAGGGCAAGGAAGATGTCCTTCCATCATTTCCCTCGAAGAAAAAGTCATGAGCATGCTTCAGTCTCACTCCTGTCTCCTCCTTGTCAAACCGCTGTGTGATACGACCGTCTACGCTGCCCAGAATGTTTCTATTTTTAGTGCTCAGCTGCCAGAAAGCAGGTGGGAGGCCGGCTCTCTCCAGCCACTCTCTGCTGCAGTGCAGGGGACTGCACCTCCCTGAGCGTCTGACCAGTATGACAGATCCTGAACCCTGAAACTGAAACATCCTCTGAAGACTTCCCTGGGCCTGGAGAAATTACATACCCTGAACACTTCCCCTGGCCGGGAGAAATTACATACCCTTAACCCTTCCCTTGGCCAGGAGAAATTACATATGCCCTTAACACTTCCCCTGGCCTGGAGAAATTACATAAATGCCCTTAACCCTTCCCCTGGCCAGGAGAAATTACATATGCCCTTAACACTTCCACTGGACAGGAGAAATTAGGTACACCCCTAACGCTTGTACCCCTCACACTTACACCCCTGACACTTGTACCCCTCACACTTACACCCCTGACACTTGTACCCCTCACGCTTACACCCCTGACACTTGTACCCCTCACGCTTACACCCCTGACACTTCTACCTCTCACGCTTACACCCCTCACACTTCTACCCTTCACACACCCCTCACACTTCTACACCTCACACTTACACCCCTCACACTTCTACCCCTCACACTTACACCCCTCACACTTACACCCCTGACACTTATACCTCTCACACTTACACCCCTGACACTTATACCTCTCACACTTACACCCCT